ATTCGTCAGTCACGACTGACGTAACGTCTCCGTTCCCTCCTTCAGGGAACGAGGGTTACACAAGTAACCGAAACGTTTTTTATGGTCCAACCAACAAGTAGAAATATCCTGAGAGAAAAAAAATTTACTTGATGCAAAAATAAATAAATAAATGAAAGAAGAATAAATACTTTTTTTCTAAACTTGTTTTCTACATTTGAAATAATGACTAAAATATGCACACTCACATGAGTTCAAGGTGTAAGGAAAATATATTACTTTTTATTTGATGGTTAAAAATAAAAAATGCAATGTGATGCAGAAAAAATAAATAAACAAATCAGTCAATCAATCAATAAACTAACAAATAAATACTTTTTACCTTGAGAAATATTTTACATATACAATCACAAGTGTTCAGTGTGTCAGAAAAATATATTTCTTTTTACTTGATGGTTACACCACATCACATTTCTATAGCTATTAAATTCAAACTTTCCTTGGCCTGTCTTGAGTCTTGACCTAGGTCTCTATACATAAAAGGACATCAAATTATATTGTGGGAGAGGAGCATGGCATCACAATTATCCAGGTGGAATGGATTAATCAGCAAAAAGAAAATGAGAAGAACGATCAGAAGATTGTTGTGTTCCATCCTATGTTGCCAACACTTTTTCAATCCTGTCCTCTTCTGGAGACAGTGACCAGTTCAAAAACTGGGAAGCTGCAAGGCTCAATCCTGACCCTGTATAACGTTACAGTGAATGACAGTGGAAACTATATTTGTGAAATTACTTCCTATCCTATTGGCTCGATTAAAAGAACCACAACGCTGCAATTCACAGGTAAACTGTTTACTGTAAACTGATTTCACATTTACAGAACCACAACGCTGCAATTCGCAGGTAAACTGTTTACTGTAACCTGATTTCACATTTAAAATCAAATAAGCATCATCTGTCTGCTAATTTCAGAGCCTCCAGCATCAGTGAAGATGCCATATCCATATGGATTCATAAAAGAGGGGGATGATATGAAAATAACTTGTTCAGCGATCCCTCCACCACTCTGTTATAAACTGAGACGTTCAAAGGTGAGTCAGATGAAAAAATACGCATTTCTATATGCCACAGTTTATAACTGTTGTGTTGATCTCATTCGTCTCATCAGAACAAGATATTTTGGCTGGAAAGCTCAAACGGAGAGTTCATTTTACCACATGTCAACAGAAACGACAGCGATGTGTACATCTGTTTACCTGAATGGGACTCGTTAGTCCCAAATCTGCAAGGTCTCAATGCCACCGTCGAACTGACTGTGAATTGTGAGTGTTTGTACTGAGAATATAAATCAATTGCACCTAAAAAGGTTTTTGAATGATTTTTTATCATTGTCTGTCGAATAAAAGCTCTTACAAATAAACAAATCCATATAAAATAATTCCTGGTTTTCCAAACAGT